GTTGGGATGAATTAGTCATCAAAGAAAGACCCAATTTGGGAAATGTAACTACGTCGTATTGTACTTAACTTAAGCCAAATACATTGTTTTTTTTATTACTTTACGCAACGTACTTAAGTTACGTAACAAGTTTACTTATTTTAACTCAAACCATGGTCTTTTCTGAAACTTTGCCAAGTAGTTTTGTTGCCTACACATAACCAAGAAACTTACTTAACTTATGTCAAGTACGTAACACAACTTTAACCACCACATTTTCTATTTAAAAGTGAATCCCAGAGGGCGTGACCAATGTTTGTGAAATCGTTTTTGTACTGGGAGTTTTTAGTGAATTGATCTTAGCGTTTTTGATGAAAACAGCTGATCCAGATAAAGAATATGAGCTCTGCATTGTCATCATTAAGAGTGGTCCATTTCACATTACAAACAGTCATTTGATAAATAGTGTATACAAAAGTATTGATTAGAGCAGCTTTAACCAACAATGTTTTCCACCAAAGGCCATAAAGAATATTATAACGATTTTCAATTTGATTTAGGCTTGAGCTATTCATATTTACAACTTCACTACACAGTGGCGAACCAGTATTGATAAACTCTTATTTAAAACGGTCAATACAATTGTCATAAGAATTGCATTTGTATTTTGACTGTAGATGCTAAATCTCTTAATGTTTACTGAAATTGGGTTTTGTGTAGGGAGTTCTGTGCGCTCCAGAAACTTGTTTTAAATCCTAATTTTGCCATAATAATCAGAATAACTTTAGGTCGGTGTGTAGGTGATATTTCATTTCTTCTATTTTTAAAATCTCCCCTTTTTTTGTTGTCTGCTACAACTGCACTGTCATGGCTTCCTCCATGAAGAGAAACATTGATTTCGACTCAGCGGGGATCATGCAAAACAGCCTCTCATTAAAATCATAATTAGAACTTGGAAATGGCACATGGGGTTCAACGGTGGGGCGAGCTGAAAATCACTGCAAACTATTAAACGTGCAGTTAGCCTTTCAGTTCTAAAACATATCTGATTCTGGATATATGACATATATATACAAAAAACAAAGGCCTTATTTTCTGAAGATATTTAGGTTTTTCTCTTGAAAACACTTTCACATTTAAGTTGGTTCTCTTTCAATATTTTTAAGGTCCAAAAATGACCTATATTAGATTTGTTATAATGTGTAAAAAAACAGGAAATATTGCCAATATCCTTCATGATTTATTTTTCAATGTCAAGTGCATTTTCCAGCTGAAGGTCACAGCTGTGCAACATCATCATCGTCCATTCTTACAACGAAAAAAATCTAACGTCATATCAACTCTCAAAAACTCCCCTATCAGTTGTGAGGGTCCACTTCAAACACACATTCACATTCACATTAAAACACACACACACACACACACACACACACACACACACACACACACACACACACACACACACACACACACACACACACACACACACACACTCTGCCCTCTCCCTGTCCCCAGCCCCGGTTGCCTAGGAGACAGCTGAGATGGGGACCCCATCTCATTTCACGCCAATAGGGCTGTGTGGCTGGCTGCAGGGAGGAAGCACGGGATCTTTATCGCCACCTAGCAGCCAAGACAGAGAAATACTTTCCTTTTTTTTCTTTTTTGAAGCAACCTTTCTGCCTAGTAACCCAATATGCTGACTGCTCTTGGTGCTGACATCCAGCCCGGAGCTTCAGAGGAGACACATCGTACTGCAGGGCTTCAATATGTTCAATATGGGTCTTTAGTTGAATAGAAGACAATCACTGAGAACTCACTGCTCCATAGTTTCTATAATCATTCAGATTCAGATTCAACTTTATTGTCATTACATAGTACATGTACTAGTGACGAAATGTAAGTTTAGGCATCTGACCAGAAGTGCAAAATAGCAGTGCAGGAGTCTACATAATGAGAATAATATACATGGAATTTTTATAAATAGAATAATTATAAATAGGCTATAAACAGATGAATATATACAGTGTAAACGGCATTGACAATCAAATATATAAACAGGTGGATGGTGGGTAGGGGCTTGAGTCTATCAGCGGGCAGAGTTCAGCAGGGTAACAGCCCTGGGGAAGAAGCTGACCCTGAACCTGCTGGTCTTGGACCGGAGGCTCCTGAGGCGCCTCTCCGAGGGTAGGAGGACAAACAGATAGTTTGCAGGATGAGAGGTGTCTATGAAGATGTTGTGCGCCCTCTGCAAACACCGTATCCCCTGGATGTCCTCGATGGCAGGGGGTGGGACACCAATTATGCGTTGGGCGATTTTCGTCACCATAATCATGAATCATGAACAACATACTGCACAATCATATGTACAGTATTTGCACAATTCTATAATGTATATAATACACTGTGTCTATATGTTTCCATCCCTTTAGCAGATTGGTATATAGACTACTCTAATTTATTCTGTATATTTTATAGTGCGTATTCTTAGATACTCTTCTGAGTCTTTTCTACTGTGAAAAAACAAAACTTGGTTTAATGTTTTTTTTAATTATATTTGTAAGTCATTTAATTCTTGCAAAAATGCTGCTGTGACAAAAATATTTCCCAACATGGGATAAATAAATTAAGTATACAACTATCTATCAGTAAGTGATTGTCACAGTAAGGCAGCTTGAGCTTGCATCAGAGCAAATGATCACACATTCTAATCTACTGATAGATCAAGGGACACATGGAGGTCACTACAATGGTGGAAAGTAACAAAGTACATATTACACACGTACTTTACTTGTGTACAATTCTGAGGTACTTTTATTATACTTGAGTATTTTACATGTTATGCTACTTTGTACTTTTACACTACATAGATATGTGTTTTTGACCAACAGCAACAACTATTAGTTACTTCACTTGTAATGTTTTGCTTTTAAAAGTGTAACATTGTAATAGATGCAACTACCTGTGCAAATTAGTACAGTTATCTCCAACACCTACAACATTGCTATTGTGCTTACGCTTACTTACCTGCTTAAATAATTATGGTCTAATAATATAAGTATTTGTGGGGGAAACTTCTGAAGCATCGGGAGTCAGGACTCAGAGAGACACGAGGAGAGCTGGAGCTTTGATGGCAAACACTGACGGTTTATTTGGAGCTTTGGTCGGAGAATTCACAAGACATGTCACGGGCCACGGTCTGACCACACGGTAGAGATGCCACAATCAATTCTGAAGCCCCCTCCTGTAGCTCCAGGTTTTAACTAGTTCAGAGTGTAATAATCAACATCCTTCAATAGATAGACTAAACAGCTGAGGACACTGAATCACATTTGTTGTCGCTTATGGCTCCGGGGTCATCCACACCCAGAGAAGGATGTTTTCCAGGTGTCCCATAGCAATAACTATCTCTGACCGAGAGTTGCCCGGTCACAAACTGGTAACAACAACAAAATGCTATAGGGCAGCCCCTCCTTAAGGGAGATAGCGGCTGCTCAAGGCTGGGCCTCTGCGTCAGAGGGCGAAAGATGACATGCAGGGGAAGTTATTCCCCAACAGTATCCGACACTGACCCCTGTGAAAAAATACTAAAAGTACATTTTATGGCCAAACTGCTGTATGTTTAAATGATCAAAATACTTCACTTATCATATGTATGTACTGTACAACATGACATCAGATTATTTGAAGGTTCGGAGATACAGCTTTTTTAGGTTCCTTGAGAATTGAAAAGTAATATTTGCAACTTGACTCATCAGTATGTTTCCTCTCAGTGTCTAATAATTGATTTAATATAACTCATACTGAGATATAAGAAGTGTTCAGGTGTTTTACAATAGTAGCCCTAGCATGTAAATATAATCCATTACCATCAGGAAAATGGCCAGATCGATTTTTATCATATATCATGTTTTCATTACAGCTTCATTTTAATGGATGGTAAGCTAATTTGAACTACTATATCTACTGTTAAAGTAGTAGTTTAACAAGACACAACCCAACACCTAATAGGATGTTGGTATAATGTGTGTTCAATCTTAATCTAAGTTGTTTTAAGGTACTTGTAAATATAGCTTTTAGTTAAATTAAGTGGAGTAAAATGTGTATTTCCCTCTGAAATGTGATGAGGTAGAACTATAGCAGCATAAATTGGAAATACCCAAGTGAAGTGTTATTAGAGTGCATGATTAAATGTACCTGGCTCCATGCCAACACTGATTCTATGTTGTTACACTGCAGTACCACTACTCCATTCACTTCTGTGATATAATTTACGTGCAGGCCTATTTTCAGGAACACTTCAGTTTTCTTTTCTGAACATGCAATCTCCGAAAATGACGCACGTGGGACAGTTGTTTCTGGAATATACTGCAGTTTATTAATTATAATTCATATGTTATATTACATATTAAAAACACCAAGTAAAAATGGCCACATATATACACCGCAGCAGAAGCAGGAGTTTGGGCCGGACTGAGCAGGACACTGTTGTGCTTTTTAATTTCTACTTGGCTGGGAACAGAACACAGATAATCCTTGTGCTACACACGCCGTATGTGAAACGAAGCCACAGACACTCTGAGTGTTCACCTGGTTTTAGATAGATACCCCTAGTCACCATGATGGGAGAGTGCAGATAGGAAAGTCAGCAAATGTCATTAAATAGTAACTTAAATCTGTTTTTCCCAGTAGTTTAATTTTCTCGCCGTACTGCTGTGAAGTACAGGTGTACTCCAGGACTCAGTGACATCACTGTTGGGCCTTTTTAGTGGTTAATCAGCCTGGTGTAGGGATGCCAGAAACTGACCGTGATCAAATTCGAAAATCGGACAGCCCTGGCGAATATTAATCGATTATTCGCCGCCGCCCCCATGGCTTCCTCCAGGTTTACAGTAAAACAAACTGGTGGTGTGACCAATGGCCATTTACAATTATTAATACTATTATTAGCATTAGTCTATATTTTGGTTGAAACTAAGCCAGGAAAAAAATGAAAAATATAAATAATAATAAAAAAATATATAAATAAAATCGAATTATAAAAAAATAATTTTCGATTATGAAGACTGTAACGAATATTCGAAAAATCGAATAATCGATGGCATCCCTAGCCTGGTGATGATTGAACGCTTCATCCCAAAAGAGATCATTTGTGTATCAATTAACTTCCAATATAAAGAATCCAAAAACTGAGAGAAAAATCTCAATGAATTGAATCGAATTTGTTCTGCGTTAAATAACATTATCTAAACTTTTGTTAAGAAACTCACTTGGAGTTTATTCCGTTTGTCCAGTCGTACACTACACTTTTTCCCAAACGTTCCCAGCATTTTCACTAAAATCGTTATATTTGAAACACTTTAGAAGTTGCATGTCTGCGCTAAATTTGTTTACGGTTTTAGTGAAATGCATGCGTTTAGGAAGACGTGAGCATACGACTGAATCAATTAGATTTATAGGCATGTGAGAAAACGGTTTCCTTTTGGGTGAATAATTGATGTACAAATGATAATACTCTGGGCCTATATAAGACAATAACTTGTTTACACCCAGGGCAGGAAACCAGCTTTGTTGTCTGCCCACTTTTATAATCTTTTGTCAGCCAAATAGATATTTCAAACTTTTTCTAGCACCACAAGAGGGTTTGGGGCCAAATGGAGTTCCTAACATACCAGCAGTGGTGGGCTGGTGTTACTTTCCCACCCTGTAAACACCTGATTGATGTACAATATATTTTCGAACAATCTTTGCATTTCTAAAGAGATTTGAGGTTACAACAATTTCAGTCTATCCTTCTATATCATCTAGTGATATTCATGCACAGGTGAGATTAAAGCGTCTATGCACCGTACCTATTTTAAATGTGAACAATCCACTTTCGTGACTCTGCACAAACAACCCCCTTCTTATCTTGTTCCACATTCTGCCATGGTCCACACGTTATACTGTTGTTGACCCTACCTAAAGCATAGTATTGTCATTTAAATGTAGATATAGGCAAGGGTGATCTAACACGACAAATCGGAGAAAAAAGAAAAGAAAAAGATAGCACACATATAGTACACTTGTAACAAAGATCAACATAGAAATAAAAGACAAAAGAATATCAAGAAAGAAACTCCTTCATATGGTAACATAAGATATGGCATATACCATAGAACTAGGCCTAATGAAACTACTCATTCGCCTGGAAAGGAAGGATTTGCAAACACTAAAAGTGGTGAGGTGGTGATATACTTCCGGTCTTTGTAAACATTGTCTATTCTAGGCCTCTGATTCTGATTGGACGGTGGCGACGCTGCCGTTCAGCTCGCCCTGTCCCGTTTGCTCCTGGATGTCCGTCATCTCCCCCACGATGAAGGTGGGCTCTCCTGCTTTGCTATTGGTCGAGACGCTGTCCGGGTGCCTGGACGCCTCATTGGTCAGCGTTGGCTCCTCGTCCAGCCTGCTTGAGATGGACCAGTACAGGTGAGCGTCCAGTCTGGCTGCAGCCAATGAGATATCTCGTGCCGAGCAGGAGGGCGTGGTCACCTTAGGAGAGGGGATGAAGATATTAGCATTGCAAATATGGCAAGAGAAAGCCTCATCCCCAGTTACATTGCAGTGATGACGTATTTTTGTAGGCCGACCCGGAAGTAAGCTGCGCATGGGTTCCCTCGACAAAAAAAGGGTTTTGGAATATGGTAAAAAATTAGATCTGTGGAAAACGAACCTGTTTGATAAATGCACTTTTTGTTCAGCCGGATAATCTCCACATGTCTACCCAACTTTTATAGTTTTCGAATCATAAATGTAATCGCCAGAAGCAAAATGCTAACGTTATGCTATAAACTAACTACAGCCGAATACAGCAGGGTTGCACGACTTCAACGTCACGCCAACTTAGGATCGATATTCAAAAATACATATTAATAATTGTACAAGTTGAAGCGTTTGTTTTAACAGTTTGCAGGAGGCAGGTACTTGCTCTCAAGCAGAACAAGGCAAACTAACTTAGCGGGAGTGTTTTCGTGTTCGGCGTAATGACGTACGATGGCATCGACAACTTCTGTAGTCCTATTCAGCCACTTGTTAACAACCATCGTTTTTCAGACACGTAAACTCTTCAAGAATCACCAGCGGGGTCACTGCTGATGTGTTTAATGTCGTAGAACAAAACATGATCCGTCTCTTAAATGTGTCTCAACCACAGACCTTATTTCCAGCTATTTTCCAAAGATATGTTCAAAAAACCCGTTGACTCTGAGGCGAGGGAACTGGAAGTGGTCAAATGCTGACTCACTTCCGGGTCTTAGGACTCGTTCCTGCACGACTCTATAGATGACATTTTTATTTAGCTGACATTATTACCCAAAGTGACTTGTCTGTGCATTGAATCATGAACAGACAAACTCCAAATAGCAAGAATCGTGCAGGTATATTAGCTGTCAATATGCCAACAACAATTGTAAGAGCTACAAAATAAGACAAACCTTTCTGAGTGTCACACACTGAAGTTTAAAAAAAAACAAGTTTTACCAAAGGTGCAGTAGAAAGAGGTTTTCAGTTAGACATCAAATATTTAGTTGTGTGTGATCAGGAACTTTTTATTATATGTTAAGTGTCTTCTTCTTATTGTATAACTGGATAGGCATAGGTTATAAAAGCTCTGCTGTGTGGCGTTGGTCCATGCTGTGCTTGTCCCTACCAAAATAAACATGAAATAAATGCTTCAGTTCGACTTCCTGCATTTCCCAGCATGCATTTCACCAACCTCAAGAGAACAAGCGTGAGAATTCAGCTGTCGGTTATACACTACATGTAGGTGGAGACAGGAATAGGGATAACAGCTCCACTTGTTCCAGGTTTTCTTACTGAAAAACTTGTGGTCGTAGAATAACGATTGCGTTTTCTGAGAAAATGTTTAAAAAGTAGGGAAATAATTTTTTTTTAAAAATGTTTGGAAGCCATTTTAGCTACAAAATCCAATGTTTTTTTTAACAGCAAACAAGTGTTGAAGGGGGATTTTGACTTGACTTACTAAGTATTTGATCTTATCTTATATGTACGTAGCTTACTCATTCCTGCATTTTACTAGCACCATTGTATCACTTGCGCTACTTTACTTCCTACTTCCTGGACTTTAGAAGTTCAGAGCCAATAACTTATTGTAGCTTTTGTGCATATAAAAAAAAAACTTTGATTCTTAAAAAGGATGTTGAAAAAACTCCTTGACAGACTCTGCTTATAGTTGTCGTTCTTAGACAGTAGGGCACTTCACTATCCAACAACATTAAATACAATCATCTAGAGGCGTTACACTCTAGAGCAGTGGTTCCCAACCTGGGGGGCGCCAAAGACCACAGGGGGGGCGCCAGGCCTCAGATGATTTGAGGCCAAATATCTTCTTTTT